AAGAAAATATAAAGACAAATTAATACAAATATTTAAAAAACCACAGAAAAAAAGGAGCAATAAAACTTATTTCCTATATTTATTGAATTATTATTATTATTATTATTATTATTATTATTATTATTATTATTATTATTATTATTATTATTGTGTGAATCACGCCTCTTCACTCCATCATCAATTCATCATACCTATTCACTATCCTTACTATTTTCAATTAGTTACACACCTGTAATATTATACTTATATATATGTAGCTCTTCCATGCTTTCCTTTTTTATTCTGTCCTGACTTTACATCTTTCAATTCAAACCTCTTCATCATTTATTTTGGATTTTGTGTGTTTCTTTCGTCATAGCAACTTCTTGATACATATATATTTCGGCTTCCTTGCGTCCTCGAATTTAAACTGCATTCTTTGTTTCAGTGAGTTTTCTATACTATAATTTTAGTTGTCTCTGTTTCGTTTGTGGTGATCAAGTTCCCTCCACCTATGTTTCGTTCTTTGTTTTTATTCTATATTTTTTACGGACCAGTAAAGTTGAATTATAAATTGTTTATTTGTGTTTTGGATTATGCTTTTCATTGTCTAATTTTTTTTAACACGACTGTTTGACTTTATTTTGAATAATTTATCTTCTACTTATGTTTATTTGTTTATGTTTTTTGTATTCATATCCTGATTCCAATTATTTTCAATTTCCCAACAACGTTTCACCAATTATAAATATTTAGTGTAAATGGAATTTTATGTAAAGTTTATAGATAAAGATTACATGGCATATGATTTGGTTTTTGTACGCGATTGAAATTTGCGTACAAATGTGTCGACTTAGAGTTTAAGAAGAGAAAGGTAGGATTTCACAATAATGTTGAAACTTATGTTTTACTACACATTGTAGGAATCTTTTTATATATACGTTATACACCAATGGAGATTGAGGAAGAAGTTGAATTAGCGATTGAAGAATACAAAAGATTTTGTCAAATACATAAACGTATTTTGGAGGTTTTGAAATTGAACGCTATGGAAATGCAGAAAGAAGTTCTACGTAGACAGGCCGAAGTTGATAGGATATTGAAGGAGGCCGGTGAAGGTTCACAAAGTGCAATTAGCGAAGCACCAACAGTGGTAGTCAATTTTATTACATTTCTAAATCAGTTAAAGCCTATTTCAGCAGATGGTATAACACAAATTAATAGGCTCAAAGAGGATAAGCAGAAGGAAAGGGACGAGCTCAAATCGGTGGGGTTGAAATATAATAGACAAATAATTTATAAGCACCCATAAAATATTCTTATTCTAAATTTTATTAAATTGCATTAGATAAAATTGTATAATTATAAGAAAATGTAAAATATATATCTAGATCGTTTTCTTTCTGTTTTAATTTATGTTTACGTCAAATTACTGTAATCAAAGATGTTTTTTTTTTCTTTTTTACTTATATTTACATGTCCTCATTCCAAAACACAGCTTCTTATAGGACCTTATACCATTCGATAATATAACGTAACTTTCGGCCAACACATTCGTCTTCAAACCCGTGGTTCAATTAAATCACTTACCACACCTGAACATCGACGACATCAATTGCGGATATGAGGTTCGACACTTCGACGACGGCAAATCTGATATACTTTCAAATGGAATTAAAAAATCAAACCTCAAAACTTCTTGCAATTATTTTAAAATATATGACTATATATCTTCCAACAATTAAAATTGACCAATTAGATTGACCAATCGATGATAACAAGAGATTTCGACCTAAGAAAGGAGAAAAAAGAACGGAATTGACAATTGATGTCGCTGGAGGAATTGTTGTACAGTCCACAATATTAATGCTCAAAATTGGCACTATTCAAAATTGGAAATTGCACAGTACTCTACTATCCGTAATTGGAAATTGGTTTCGGTGGCATCCATAATTCGCAATAGATTTCGTTACTGTTCACAGGGAGTCCAGCGATTAACTTCTCTCTTAAACCCTACAAAGAGAGGAATTCACTGGCAAACTCAATATTGACAGTATTGAACAATGCCAATTTGGAACGTCAGTAATTTGAACAGTACAACATTTGCTTCAGCATTTGTTTTCCGGATTTGTCCTTGTCTCTTACATTCGGCCTTTTGTCCAAACAATCTCTTTCGATATGACCAAGAAGAAGAGAAAGTAAGAAAGGATAGAAGAAATAGGAAAAAAAGTTCAACTGAATGCCGAAGAAAGGAAGATAAGAACAATGGAAAGGAAAAAAGCACAATATTAAGCTGTTTATATTGGCAATTGAACTGTTCAATACTGTCAACAATGAATCTACTGTTGAGACAACCGCTGGAATCCTCTCCTTTTAAGAGTTAAGAGAGGAGTTCACCAGTACTCCCATTATGAACAACAGCAAAATCAATTGCCAATTATGAACAGCAGTGAAATCAATAACCAATTATGAACAATTGTGTCTTGTGCCATTTTCCTTTACTTAGTCACTATACTCCTTTCTTCGGCACCCAGCCGAACTCTTCCCAACCCATTACTAAGTCTAAGGTTTGGAGTTAACAGAATAGTGACCATTTTAAATAAACAATCAACAACCCTAAATATTGTGACCATGCAAGAAAAGGTTGAAAATAGAGAAGAATAACGTGCCACAATAATATTTTATTTATAAAGTCCAGATATAGGACTACATGAATTTATATATCCTCGTCTCTTGGAAGAGGTTCAATAGAAGCAAATTTTTCAACCATAGTCGAAGAAAACACCCTGACATAGAATGTTATATTACCAGCATAATAAATAATCATTAATTCACCATCAACCAAGTGATTTTCATTAACTAAATTTTGCCACCCAATATCAAAGCACATATTGCTTCTGGTATCTTCAACGACCTTCACTAACTCCACAGGCCATATACGACTGTTAGGGCCTCGAAGAACTTCCACGGGACTATGGATTCCGGCTAACAAGGTAGTCCAAACCTACGGAAATACCTATAAGATCCGTACAATTATTTATAAACAGAAAAAAACACATTACAAAAAATATATAAAATGTAAAACGAAAAAAAAAATACCTGCTTATTTCTATATGCATCTCCAAAAATAACAACATGACTTGGTAAGTTACTATACATCTCTATTATACAGAAAAATATATAGAATATATTATGACAAAGAAAAAACTGTACTTATATACAATCAAGTTCCACTAAGAAGAAGCGTATACTATATTGTGAAAGTATTTTAATTATATATACATGTGTCTGATCAATCGTTAGACTTATGAATATAACTAAAGTTTCATAATATTCTTCAACCTATGTTGATTAAAACGTTTGAATCCTAAGTAAATCCTCGAAAAATTATAAACTAAATAAATTTATTCTATTTCATTAATAACAACATTTGACTAATTATAATACTTAAATTAAAATACAATTAATACTCGAGTATAATTTTCAACGTCATTTATCTTGACATTAATTTAAATAATGACTTTTAATCTATATTAAAACTGAAAACAATGTAAGAACTTTGGAAAAACAGGCAGAAAAAAACCCTATTACCAACACTCTTACTATTTAATATGTTACGGAAACGATGCACCAGTATATTATTTCGACTACATATCACACAGAATCAACATGTTGTAAATGAAGCTGTTAACAGTCCACAAATTCAGCTATAACTCAACAACAACCCCATATACACCGAGATGAAAGATTAGTCAATTTATTTAAAATAATTATTTAGTTAGAATGTATCGCAGAAAACTTATCTCACCTTGTACAGTCTACACAAACTTAATTGCCATAAAACCAAAAAAAAAAACAAAACAACAACTGTCTAAGCATATTCACCACCATTTGACAAATTCTTTTTAGTAAATTCCTTTTCAAAATAACAATTTTCAAAATAAGGAAGAATTTAAAGTGTCTGATAAACTCTTTTTAATGATAATAGTCTCCAAATTGATTTTTCGTTTCCAAGATAGTAATTTCCAATTTGTTTTTGCGTTATTTCCAACTGCTTTTTCAAAATAGCAATTTCCGAAATAACACAAGAAAATATTGGTAAATTCTTTTCAAAATAATTTATTATATTTATGTTACCACTTTTCCAATGTGTGAAGTGTTATCCGCATTCCCACTATCAAATACATGTATCGATGTGTAATACTTATTGTCTTTGTTCGTTGAATTGTCAAGCCACGGATCATCACTCCACCTTTTCATTTTCTCGCTCCTCTTAACCTAATAACTTTATCCATTATTTAAACAAACGTTTTCTCAAAATAATACCCAAAACAAAGTCCATCATTTCTATATCATCAATCAAATCCTCACAAACTGTGCATTTGTTAACATAGCAGTTTCCAAATTGACTTTACGATTTCGACGATCAATCTTCGGCCCTTTTCATCTTTGTTGCGAAAATTCATCCGATCTATAGCTAGATCATCTTTCTAATTATTTAGTTCGTAAACCATCTCGTCTCTTTCTTTCGAACTTCCCCATTCCTCTCAATCTTTTGAACTTCCCCGTTGGTAGCTTTAGTTTACTTTAAAGTGGAGTTAAAAAAAAAGCCACAAAACTTTCCGCAATTACTTTAAAATTTGTGGTTGGATAACAGCTAACAATTAAAATTAAGGCAGTGGGAAGATCACGAATAATTCTATTACGAAAACAAAGAAAGGTAATAATTTTAACACAATCACCGTATAGATTACTTAGATTATTCCACTGATAAATTAAATTAACAAGAAAATCCTTACACAATACCGTGCGAATCCGAAATACTAAGATTTCGGCGACTACAATTATCTTATCTAAGGCCCCCGTTGCTTACTGTTCTCAATTGGAAATTGAATTGCCGGGGTAAAACCGTCAACACACAAAGGGCACTGTTCAGCGAAGAGGTACTGATCATAAGAAGGAAAATAAGAGAGGTACTAAATACTCTGTACCTCGCTTATTTGCCTTCTTATGAACAATACCTCTTCGCTGAACAGTGCCCTTTGTGTGTTGACGGTTTTACCCCGGCAATTCAATTTCCAATTGAGAACAGTACATCAATTGCTTGACGGAATTGTCCTCACCTCTTAGTTTCGGCAATTTGCCGAAACAAACTCTCTCTATATATATAAGTGGTTTTCTATTTTCACTTCCTTAAGCTATTTTCATTTCCTGTTTCTCTCTCTTCTATCTCTTCCGTTCGCCATTGGAGTTAGATTTGTTTGCTTAGTCTGGGAAACATTGAATTCAGGTTTTTGTTGTGATTTAGTTTTTACAGTTTGGATTAAATTGTTGTGTATTCGTTTAGTGTTTATCTATTCGGAAGAGGTTTAGGTAAGCCTTTTAATTTATTTGCATGTTCTGATTTTGTTAATTAATTTGGATTTCTCGATTTTTTTGGGTCTATTTGTTCTTTAACATGAAAGACCAACTACTATTTCTTGCAAGATAATATAAATACGTGTACAGTATGGTGCCTCGGCTACGTGTAACTGATTCCAAGACAACTTTCGTTAAAAAGGATGGGCAAAAATTGGTATGTAAAAATGGGAATTGGGCTCACGAGGGCGGCACTGATAACCTCAGCTATTGGGCTTTTACCTTCAGCGTTATCACTGGGAATATATCCATGTGGTGCATCGACTATACATTCATGGTACGTGTCTTGACTCATATGATACATGGGCCGTCTAAAGGAATTAAAAGTGTGTGACAAATTCTTTTGGAGCTTCGGCTATTGAATAGCACTCGAAGTTTCGGCATAATATGTGACGGCAACGGAGTTTGAAACTTCGGCCATTGCATTTAAATGATTGAAAGTGTTTGATAAATTCTTTTTAATAAATTCCTTTTCAGAATAACAAATTCCAGAACAACAACTTTCAAATAACATAATTTATCATTTGTGACAGTCTCTCTCCTTGTTCTTTTGTCATCCAATTTTAGGTAACAGTGGGATAGTCTAAAATGTGTGGGCGTTAAAAAAAAAAAAAAACGAGAACGGTATTAAGCGACAACAATCACCGCCATTGAGGTGCCGCGCGCATAGCGCGCGGAACCACAACTAGTTAAACTAAAAGAAAAGAAAACCAAAAACTATGGCAAAACTAACCTACCCCAAAACTACTACTCCTATTGTTTTTATAAAACAGTGAAGAGGAGTTTTTTTTTAGAGGAAGTCCACTACTACTCCCACTAAAACTAATATTACTACTCCTAAACGGACATTCACCAATCATGAGCAACAGGAGCAAGCAACCAAGCCTAAGAATGCACAAGCCCAATAGCTGAAGTAGCCTAGCGCTGACATCCGCCCATTTGAAGTGATCTTCAAATCTGATTTAATTATTGGGCTCTTCTCCTTTGGGCCGTAATTCCTTCTTCTCCATATTTAAGTATTATACTACCAACAAAATTAGTATTCCAAACGAACCGAGCCCTTAATCACTGAACCAAATTTAATTAGCTCATTCTTGGGCTTCAAATACACGGTCATAAAATACGATCCGACTCCAACATCTTTGTAGTGGCTTAATAAGCTCGGGAATTGACATAAATCTGCAAATTCCTACAAAATAATACCAACTCTACAAAAACACTAGAAAACGCATATTAGCAATAAAAATAGCTCCGTAGATCTCAAATAAGCACAAATATGACCGTGGGACGGGGAATAAATATATATATAAAATAGACTTATCATTATCCCCGTGCGATACACGGTTAGAATTGCAATTTCTTATAAATATTAGATTTAGATATTCAAATAATGTACAGTTAAAAATATATATGAACCAAATTATATACAAAATTAATAATTAAAATAGTCAAAAGAAAATTATTTAAGCGTACATATCAATGAAATCTGAAGAAAAGGTGGAGTTAAACAATGATTGGCATTAACCATGAGTTGAGCGTATTCAACAAACAAATTACATTGGCATTATCCGAGTCCATGTAATACATATAAAGTGTAGATTTTAAAAAAAATAAAAAAAAATAAAAAATAAAAAACCATTGATGACATCAAAAATTTAATTAGAGGGAAAATTTTCACTGAGAAAACGACACGTATTATTTCGGGGTTTTCTGATGTCCTGCGGGAGAGTTACAATTCCGGGACTGGTATCCTTGCACCTGTACCTGCAAAACAATGGAGACTCCGGGTGGTGGGAGCTCCGCCTCCGACGATCAAGTTAGTGTTTGTATGTGGAGTAAAAAAGGTGCGAAAAGTAAAGGTGGGAGATCTAGTTCCTTTAAGGGAGGAGTGATCGATGTGTTTAGGTTTCTCTAGGTGAGAGTAATTATTGCAGAACCCCCCCTAATGACGATTAATGAAGGTATTTATAGTCTTGGGAAGCGTGCCCAATCTTAGGTTTAGGTCAACCTAGAGCTGATGGGGCTTTTCCCGGATACTAGCCTAGGTGGCCATCTTCCTAGGTGGCAATCAGCAGGCCACTTGGCGTGGCATGATTGGTCCATGGTGGACAAATGGTTGTGTGCCACGTGGCAGGCCCTGAGAGGTCCAAATGGAGAACACTTGGCAGGACCTGATTGGTCCACGTGGCGTACACTGATTGGGCGGGGAAAACCCCCTAATCATTTGCCCCTCACATGTGGCACGTGACTGGTCACATGTCACTTGTGACAAGTGTCGGCCTGTAACAGGCGACGGCCTGCTACAGGTGTCGTCCTGTTATAGGCCGAGAGTTTTTCTAGCCTTATTTCAAATTTTTGGGGTGACCCTTCGCATTCTCATTTTACCCTATATAAGGGCATGTTGACCAAGTCTTTTGTTCACATTTTGCGAACTTTGCAAGAGAACTCTCGGACCCCTGAACTTGAGCTCTGATTTTCTAGACGACTGATTTTACCAACCGCTTGCTTTTATTAGACGCCTATTCGATCAAGCTTCCTTTCAGAACTTAAGTTTTAGGTAACCGTATGTTCCTTTATCCTTTTCTGCTTTGCTTTTGCATTTTTTCTTTCTTATTGAAAATGAGGCCTCAAAAGCATCCGGCACGGCCTAGGTTAGAAATCAGCCGGTCACCGGGGACGGCTGAGTCTAGGACTAGGGGTGCCAACTGCCCTGCGGTACTTCAAACTTTGCGCAAGTCCCGGAATCCAACTGTCTTTGTATCTATGTTGGACAGTATGGCAAGAACCAAAAGAACAAAGAGGATTAAAAACTCTGATGGCTCTTCATTCCGGGTTCAAGTTAGCGAGCTATCGGACCAGATGCCTGACACCGCTAGGACCCGAGGTGGCTCTGCTGCCGAGAGCTCTGAGGAGGGGGCCAAGGTGGCTCCTTCCCATTTTACAGTTGACCTAGCTAGTCAGCAGTCGGCTCCTTCTGAAGAAAGGTGGGTCGGCCCCCTCAGGGAGAGGGGAATCGGGCTCCTCTGATAGTGAGTCCGAAGCCAGCTCTTCAAGCCGCCTTTCTCCAAGTTCGGAAGAGAGGCATTCTTGCTTAGATGAGGCGAGACTATCTCACTCAGTCGAAAAAGGGGTCAACTGGTCATAACCGTCCTCCTCCCATAGGGAGTTGAACACCGCTTATTACTGTCACGTCCCAAAGGGCCGAATCAAGGCCATGAAAGAACGAATAGAGACTTTTTTGTTGGACCATGTGATGGGTCCGGATTTTCAATTATTTGTGCCAGATGCTGAAGATGCAGTCGTCTGGCCCGAGGGGGCTAGCTACGGGGACGCCTGTTTAGGATGCTACGAGGCGGCTATTAAGGTCGGTCTTCGATTTCCCTTGCATCCGGCCGTTCAATAAATCCTCGATGGGTACGAGGTGGGGCTATGGCAGTTAGCCCCTAATTCCTGGTTTAACATCCTTGGCTATGTAGCCGGATGTGAAATGCATGGGGTGGAGCCGAATTTTGAGGCGTTCGCCCATATGAATTATTTAAGCCGAACCCCCAAGGCAAGCGGTACCGGCTGGTACCAGATATCAAGCCACAAAGGCTATCTGATGACTAGGGGGAAGGAGAATAAGTGGAAGGATCGGAGAAATACTTTCTTCCTAGTTTCCAGCCCTGATAAACTCCTTAACAAACGGTATAATAGGTGGAATAGGGATCCGCCTTGTTTCGGGGTTTTCTGATGTCCTGCGGGAGAGTTACAATTCTGAGACTGGAACCGGACGCCTGTACCTGCAAAACAAACGGATGCTCCGGATGATTGGAGATCCGCCTCCGACGGTCAAGTTAGTACTTGATTAAGGAGTAATTAATGCGGAAATTAAAGTGATTGGGTCTCTCTAGGTGAGAGTGTTTAATGTGTGTAATCTGCGTTTTTAGCGTGTTCTCCCCCTTAATGAGGATTAAGGGAGGTATTTATAACCTCGGGAAACGTGCCAATCTAGGTTTAGGTTAACCTTGGGCTGATTGGGCTTCCCTCGGAAGTTGGGCCTAGGTGACCGGTTATCCCAGGTGTCATGGGAAGGACACGTGTCGTGTCGTAATTGGTCCATAGTAGACGGATCATTGCTTGACACGTGGCAGGCTCCTATTGGCCCATGTGACGGACACATGGCGGAACCTGATTGGTCCACTTGTCAGATGGTGATTGGTGGGGAAAAATCCCCTAATCATTTGCCCCTCACAGGTGGCACGTGACTGGTCACGTGTTACCTGTGACAGGTATCGCCCTGTAACAGGCGACGACCTGCTACAGGTGTCACTCGGCGAAAGGCTGAGAGATTCTCCCGCCAAAATTTTTAATTCTGGAAGTGACCCTTCGCCTTCTCACTTCGCTTATATAAAGGAGTGTTGACTTCGGTCATTTTCACACTTGAAAACTTTGTGAGAGAACATTCGGACCCCTGAACTTGCTCTGACATTTTGGACCCTTTCTGCCTACCGCCTGCTCTGACAAGCCGACTGCAAAGGATTTTCAGAACTTCATCAATCGTCACTCGTTCAGGTAACCGTCGGTTCTCTTACTCTTAATTTTCTCTTTACTTTATTCTTTTTTGAAATGGCACCACGGAAGCACACGACACGACCTAGGTTAGTGATCAGCCGGTCACCGGGGACGGCTGAATCTAGAACTAGGAGTGCCGCCTGCCCTTTTCTGGACCCATCTTTGCCCTTTATACAAAGTCCGACTGTATCTGTGTCTATGCAGAGCATGATGGCCAGAACAAAAAAGACTGCCAGGATCTCAAACTCAGACGGCTCCTCCCACAGGGTGCCGATTAGTGAAACATCTGACCAGGCGCCAGATGTGGAAGTGAAACAAAGCGGCTTGAAAGCCGGCAGTTCTGAGGGAGGAGTCAAAGTGACCCCTTCCCATTTTACAATTGACAATTCTACATTCTCTCCTGCTCCTTTTAAAGGAGAGGAGGCGGGCCCCTCCGGGAGAGGGGAGGAGTTGTCCTCTTCGGACTCGTCAGAGGACGATTCCGAGTCTAGCTCTTCTGGCCATGCTTCTTTGGACACAGAAGAGAAAAACAGTCGCCTGCAAGAGGCGAGGCTTTCTCACGCAGTTGAGAAGGGGGACGATTGGGCGGAGCCATCCGCCTCTCACCGAGAGCAAAATACCCCCTACTACTGCACGGTACCTCGGGGCCGGATCACGGCCATGCAAGAGAAAGTGGAGATCTTTATCGCAAACCACACAATGGGCCCCGACTTTTTAGTGTTCGTGCCGGATCCAGAAGACACAGTCGTCTGGCCGGCTGGTACCAGTTATGATGGCGCCTGCTTTGGCTGCTACGAGGCGGCCATCAAGGCTGGGCTGCGCTTCCCACTACTTCCGACTGTTCAGCGGATCTTGGATGGGTATGAGTTGGGGTTATGGCAGTTAGCTCCAAACTCCTGGGTCAACGTACTCGGCTATGTGGCCGGGTGCGAACTGCACGGGGTGGAGCCGAGCTTCGAGGCTTTCGCCCACATGAACTACCTCAGCCGGACCCCTAAGGCAGGCGGTACCGGCTGGTATCAATTGACGAGCCACAGGGGCTACCTCATGACGAGAGGTAAA